TTCCTATGTGGGACTAAACTTTTCCTCTTTTCCTCTATAAACCCAAGTTTTTAAGTTATAACTCCAACATGACTTTCCTCCTGATTTATTTCTTAATTTAATTTTGTTAAACTGATGTTCTTAATTTTAGATAAAGATCTATATATCAATGTGAACCTCCTGTCTTTATTACGTGATATAATAGAGGTAAATCCATGCAGCATCAAAATTAAGTTACAAGGTTTGCCAAAACAAAATTTGACAGATGCCTAGAAGTCCAAAAAAAACCTCAAACAAAAGTTGACTTTTTTCTTTCTTTTTTGCAATACTTAGATCTGGAAGTTAGAATCATCCCATTGAAGGACTGCAGACTCAAAGTCCTGCTCCCTCTTGAGCTTGTCTTTCATGGAAGTTAGAATCATCCCATTGAAGGACTGCAGACTCAAAGTCCTGCTCCCTCTTGAGCTTGTCTTTCAAGAACCAGTCGCAAATTCTACCAGCATTGAGCTCCTCTATTGGAATCCCTTCTTGCTCTGATATCACCCTCAACAGATTCAGTGATGATATCTGAAACATGTATATATGGCAACATTAGGACATACAGACAATTTTACAATTATTTGCTAAATATATGCCAATAATGTTGAAGGTAATATATCCTAATTTGATATTGTCCATTTCCAAATACATACATACTTGTCACCACCGTTTTAAAATATGTTTCGGTTGACGTGCCTTAAACTTATCGGTGCCTTTTGGCAAAGGGTTAAGTGAGAGGTTAAGAAGACTTAACCCCTTCTTAACCCGCCAAACACAAAAAAATCTATATAAGGGTTAAAGTAAGTTAACCCTCTATAATTTGCCAAATACAAAATATATAGAAAGGTTAAGCTAACCCCTCTAGAGGGATTAAAATGAGTTAACTCTCTCAAAATAAGGGGTTTACTAATACTCATATTTAGAAGGATTAAGAGATAACCCCTCTAATTATAAAGAAAATAGTCAAAATCCTTGTTATTCCCAAACACTAAAAGTGATCATATATAAGGGTTAAAATAAAACTTATATAACCGGTTAATAATTTAGCCCTTCGAACTGTTGAATGGACTAACTATGTTAATCCTTCTCCTTAATCCCTCTTCATTAACCCTTTTGTTTTCTTCCATGTGTTTTTGACATTGGTTTTCTTCCAATATCTTCCATGTTTTTTTTTTGGACTAACTATGTCAAAACTTTTCTACTAGCACTTAAAACCTTCTTATGTTTGAAACGGAGTTATCTCAGTGAAATATCATTGGGCACTCTTTGCAACTCACGATAAACGCACGTGACGTCAGCAAGCAACTTCACATGAACAGATAACAGAGAGATAACTCCATGGTACACAGGGTGTGTCTGTAATTAGACCAACTAAAATTGCATAAAAAATATTTTGGTTGAGAAAATTAAATTAAAAAAAAGTGGGTAATTTAAATTAAAAAAATAAATAAAGTGGAGAAGCGTGTTTTGTTGTGGTACCCACGGTTAGTCTACAGAGAAAGCGCTCATGAGTGCTGAGGCCAGAGACCTCAACGAGGCCAGCTTCCTCCGGGCTAAGAAAGCTCCTCTGCCCTTTCTTCTCCTCCTCGCCTGCACACTTCACCGTTAACACGAGCCCCCTCCTACCGCCGACACTGAGACCCCCTGCATTTAATTTGTAACAAAAAACAATCAAATTAAATTTGGTATACTAATTCGGTGAAAATAATGCTATACATATGACGTACGGTTACCTTGATGGAGAAATGATGATGGCCTTGTAGCAGCAGGAGAATTGAGAAGAGGGAGCGGGTGAAATTGGTTAGGTTTGAGAGAGAGCATGGTTAGTAATTGTTTAATTGTTTCTTTTTCTTTGGGGAGGAAAAAAAAATATGAAAATGGTTTCCAAGAGGAGGAGGATGAAGAAGTGGAGAACGTTGGGGGTATTGTAAAGGATATTTTGGATGGAGGATAAATGGACGTGTTCACGGGACGCGAGGCAACCACGTGGGAAACAAGTATAGTGATGTTGTATTCTTAGGTGGGCCAAATCCAAGAAATGGTTGGGTTTCTATTTTCGGCCCATGGGGTTAAATTTGGCCCTAAAAGCCCACTGCTATAGAGTGGCTGGTCGAAATGAGCATTTAAATCCGCTCATGACCTTTTATCATTTTACGAGAAAGATATGCAGCTTATTCAAGAAAAACTATCATGGAATTTCATTAAGGGGCTGTTTGGTTGTATGTTTTTACCATGTAAAAGGATGGAAAGTGTAAAAAAATAGATCCCAATATCAGCTTTTATCACTTTACATTATTTGTTTAAATTCTCTTTCACATGAAAAGCTTACACCTTTTGATGAGGTGTCACCGAAAGTAAAATCATCAAAATTAGGAATGATTTTGTTGGAAAGCTGACACAATGTCATAAATGTGTCCAAAAAAATATAAAAAAAAGTCAAAACCTTGTAGAAAGTGGTGAGGTGGATAACCACTTTTTATTTTGTGTCATAAATACTCTGGTTTACATTATACTATCAAAACAATATAATACTATTATTTTAGAATTTACAAAGATTCCTAACCAAACAATGTAAACACTCGAATGGAAAGTGATGAGGTGGATAACCATTTTTTATTTTGTATCATAAATACTCTAGTTTCCTAAAGGGGCTGTTTGGTTGGTAGCTTTACTTGCAAAAACGCCTAAAATGGACGTTTTTGCAAGTAAAGTTGTCAAAACTGACAGCTTTTGTCAGTTTTGACAGCTTTACAAGAACAAAAAATGCCAACCAAACAGCCCCAAAGGCATCCAAACAGCCCGCATCTTTCCTTGGATGCAAGTAAATTAAGTTTTTGACCACTTTACTTTTAAAAAAAAACTAACTTTATGGTACCTAGTTTAACATAAATCAAACTTATTGTCCTCAGTGGAGAACCCAAAATTGTAAATCCATGAAGCTAAAATGCTACTAATCCTTAAGCATATGAAAAAAAAGGTGCAAAATTAACAGAATACACAGCCTCCATACAAAACACAAATGACCGAAAGGTCCAACTAATAAAAATACACGCACTAATCAAAAAACCAAAACCGGCCGGAAAACCACTCAGTTTGGGCCCCACAAAATCAACTGCATGACCTTCTCGACTCTCTTCACTTCTCTCGAAGCCCCCTTCCTCTGCTCCCCACCACCGCCCTTCCCCTTTGATCTGTCGCCGGGAAACCGCC